CTGAAGATTCTTTGAAGATCACATCTTGTACATTGTTTCTAAAGATCGTTTTTGTTACTGTTCTACATTGTCAAAAGAGAAGATCATCACTTTTCTACATTCGAGGGGGAGAATGCTAGAAGATCTTTCTCAACAGTTGATTGCTTAAAGATTTCAAGTTGAAGAATTATTTTGAAGAAGACATAATGTGCTTAAAGATTCAAAGTTCAAACAAGACTCAAAGTGCAGAATTTCTTTCTAGTCTGAATACAAAGGGGGAGAATGTTAGGATTGAAAATCAGTATTAAATTGTATTCGTCTTGAAATTTAAATATTGTCTATAATTGTAAAAGTTATCGTGTTTGACTTTTCTTATAGGAGTTTGACTTTGACTTGTGTTTAGAGGTTTGACCCTATAAATAGGGTAATGTCTTTGTAATTAGAAAAGAGGAGAGCTTATTGTATATTCTGATACGTAATAAGAGGTTTGACTAGAGCTTTGAATGTTTGACTTTCTCTCTCAATATTCTCATATATGTGTTCTTGAAGATACATCAGATCTGCCATGATTATGGAGCTTAACATGAAGATTGATCAGTAAATAGGGACACACACTTACTAACTCAATTCATCAATAATCTTGCAATACCATGATCAATTCCTTATAATTCAATTCCAAACTTCATAATAACATTAACTTACAAAATTAACCACTAATCATAAATATGCAAACCCTAATATCCTTAAYTAACACTAATTACAAAGATTAAACTTAGCATTAGAAGCATACCTTCAATAATCTTCACATAAACATCAAGAATTCATCCATTTGAGCTTTGATTCTTCAAGAATTGAATACATTTGGGCTTAAGTGTGTGAAATCGCACCTTGAGTGTGTGGGAGGGTTTTAGAAGTGATTTGGGGATAAAAATACTAATTTTCATCCATTTAATCTCTTAAACCCGAATTGGGCCGGATTTGGCCCGGTTGAGGCCCATTTGACTACCAAACACTAAAAAAATCATATTTTTTTACTCGAACCTCCGTTTTTGATGAGATTTTTGCCTATGCGATCGTAATAAGATAATCTATAACTTTCAATAAAAAAATTCAGAAAAGATCTTTCAATAAAAGCAGTTTTACGTATGTTACAATTATCTCCTCCTTTTGGGGATTTCGTACTCGAAATCTCGACGACTCGAATAACGCCGGATACTTAGCCTTCATTTCATTCCTGTTCTCCCACATCCAATTTGGTCCATGGTGATGTTTCCACTTTACTAGCACCAAATCCACGACCTTGTTTCGTAAGTTCACCGATCTCTCATTCAATATTGTTTCCGGTTCTTCAACATATCTAAGCTTTTCGTCCAGCTTCACTTCAGTCAATGGCACCATTTCTTCATGTTTTCCAAGACATTTTCGGAGATACCCGACATGGAAGACATTGTGTATTCCGTTGAGCTCTTCAGGTAGCTCCAATCTATATGCTTGTTTTCCAACACGCTCAATGATTTTGAAGGGTCCTACAAAACGAGGACTAAGTTTACCCTTCTTTTCCAAATCTCATAATACCCTTCCATGGCGAAACCTTTAACATTACCATGTCGCCAACTGAAAACTCTATCGGTCGTTGCCGTTTGTCGGCATATGACTTCTGTCTATCTTGTGTCGCCTTCATTCTTTCACGAACGATTTGAATCTTTTCATGAGTATCTTGTATCAATACTGGACCAGCCAAGACTTTCTCTCCTGTTTCACGCCAACACAAAGGTGTACGACACTTTCGCCCGTGTAAAGCCTCAAATGGTGCCATCTTGATCGATGCATGGTAACTGTTATTGTATGAAAACTCCGTTAATGGCAAATACTTGTCCTAACTACCTCCAAACTCTAGTACACATGCACGTAACATATCTTCCAAGGTCTGAATCGTTCTCTCTGTATGTCCATCGGTCTGTGGGTGATACGCTGTGCTAAGAGCAACACGCGTCCCTAACTCTCTCTGCATGCTCGTTCAAAAGTTTGAAGTGAAACGAGTGTCACGATCTGAGACTATTTTAACTGGTACACCGTGCCTAGCAATAATTTCATTCAAATATAATTGTGCCCACATATCAATTGAATAGGACTCGCGAACAGCAAGAAAATGAGCACTCTTCGTCAGTCTGTCTACAATAACCCAGATACTATCGTGTTGCTTGGACGTCTTCGGTAGTTTCGTAATCAAATCCATAGATAGTTCTTCCCACTTCCACACAGGCACACTGAGAGGTTGCAAGCTCCCATAAGGTTTCTGATGCTCAGCTTTAACTTGCAGACACGTGGTACACTCTCGTACGAAATGACCAATATCCGACTTCATTCCTGGCCACCAATAATCTAACCGCATATCTTGATACATCTTTGTAGTCCCAGGGTGAATCGACAACTTGGATTTATGCGCTTCAGTCAATACAATCTTCCTCATTCCTCCAAGTTTCGGTACCCAAATACGATTTTTGAACACTTTCAATCCACGACTATCTTCCGATAATGAATCCAAGTAACAAATCATTCGCTCTGATTTCACATGTTTCGGTTTCAAGGCCTTACTTTGCCATTTCCATAAGTCATCCATAAGTGTAGATTTCACTGTCGTATGAGTAATAACATAATAAATCCCAGTTCTGTGAGCCTTTCTACTCAATGCATCCGCCACTACATTGGCTTTACCCGGGTGATAGAGAATCTCACAGTCATAATCTTTGATAAGTTCCATAGCTCTTTGTTATCGCATATTTAGCGTTTGTTGATCGAAGATATATTTCAAACTCTTGTGATCTGTGTACAGTTGGCATTTCGTGCCATACAAGTAGTGCCTCCATAACTTAAGTGCAAATACGACCGCCGCTAATTCAAGATCATGTGTGGAATAATTCTTCTCATACTCTTTCAACTGTCGAGAGGCATACGCTATTACCTTGCCTCGTTGCATTAATACACAACCTAATCCTAACTTCGACGCATCGCTGTATACTACAAAATTATCATTACCCTCGGGTAAGGCAAGTACTGGTGCATTTTTCAAACAATCTTTTAGAGTCTGAAATGCTTTCTCCCGAGCTTCTCTCCATTCAAACTTCACATCCTTCCGGGTAATATATGTAAGTGGCACTGCGATCTTTGAGAAATCCTTAATAAAACGTCGATAGTATCTCGCAAGACCAAGGAAATTACGAATCTCAGAAGTATTCTTTGGTGCTTCCCATTATTGTATTGCTTCGATCTTTGACGGATCAACTGAAACACCTTCTCCCGAAATCATGTGTCCCAAGAATTGTACTTGGCGAAGCCAGAATTCGCACTTAGAAAACGTCGCATATAACTTTTCTTTCCTTAACAGCTCTAGCATCTCACTAAGATGCATAACATGATCACTCTCGGTCTTAGAATACACCAAGATATCATCAATGAAAACGATCGCAGACTTGTCGAGCATAGGACAACATACACAGTTAATCATGTCCATGAAAGCAGCCGGGGCATTTGTTAACCCAAAAGGCATCACAAGAAACTCGAAGTGCCTATAACGAGTACGAAAGGCCATCTTTGGCACATCCTCATCACGTACTCTGAGCTGATGATAACCCGACCTCAGATCAATTTTGGAGAAATAACTAGCTCCTTGAAGTTGATCAAATAGATCATCAATACGAAGCAATGGATACTTATTCTTGATTGTTACCTTGTTCAGCTCGCGATAATCTATACACATCCGCAAAGACCCATCTTTCTTCTTCACAAATAGTACCGGAGCACCCCAAGGTGAAGTGCTCGGTCGAATAAAACATTTTTCTAACAACTCTTGTAACTGGCTCATCATTTCTTTCATCTCTGTTGGTGCAAGACGATAGGGAGTCCTTGCTATGGGTGCAGCACCAGGCACAAGATCTATCCGAAATTCAACTTGCCTATCTGGTGGTAAACCAGGCAAATTGTTAGGGAATATATCCGGAAAATCACGTACAACGGGTACATCTTTCACCGTTTTCTTTGTTTCTTTTGACGTATCTAACACATAAGCTAAAAAAGAGCAACATCCTTTCGTCAGACATCTTCGAGCCTTAAGAATAGATATTACCTTCTCATCTCCCGTTCTCCTCTCACCGTAGATATACAAAGGTTTTTTTCCTTCGATCGGTATCTAAATTATCCGCTGGGAACAAAGAATATCTGCACGGTTCTTCCACTAACCAATCCATGCCAATCACGATATCGAAGCCGTGTACATCAATAGGTATCAAATCAACTAGAAATTCATGATCATCTAACTCTATCATACAATCTCTATAAACTCTATCATCTATCAAAGATACACCGTTAGCTATGCTGATAGCAAAAGGTGTAGAAAGCAAACAAGGCACCGAATTCAAATAACGCATATAGTGATGTGACACAAAAGAATTCATCACTCTAGAATCAAACAATATAGGCGCAGGTCGAGAGTTTACAAAGAAAATACTAGTGACAACATCGGGCTCATTATGAGCTTCTTCTGCCATTATCTGAAATGCTCTAACTCGAGGTTTGGGTATCTCCTCTTTTTGAATGGAAGTACTTGCATTCATAGGGTTCTGGACTGAAGCTTTACTTTCATTACGACGTGGTCGGGGACAATCTCGAATAAAGTGATCTGGAGAACCGTAGGAGTAACAAGCTCGACCTCTCTATGGACACATCGATCGTACATGTCCCGTCTTATCACAATTAAAGCACTTAATCAGAGTCCGATTACTTTCACAGCGCCCCCGGTGAGTCTTGCCACATCGCTGGCAAGAACGTGATGCTTCCAACTGAAGTGTGAAGGCCTGTGAATGAGCACGTGATACATTATGTGAATGCGTATTTTGACAATGCGAGTGTCTTGGATTAGAGGATCGAGACTGTCTATAACTCGGGCCAGAAAACGTTCAATCTACCTTTCGATGCTTGGGCATAGAAGACAACTCACCATGCTCTTCCAAATCGTGCTCAAGATGTCGAGCATATTCTACCGCCTTATTAAAGCTAGGGATCTCTCGGTTCGCAACAAAGTCTCTAATTTCACATCTCAGTCCCTCAATGAAAGTTTGTGCTCTCTCCTCCTCCGATGTAATAAAACGGATTACAAAATGGGCTTTCTGGTTGAATTGAGTTTCGTACTCAATCACTGACATGTTGCCTTGCTTTAACTCGAGAAATTCCTTCTCTAACCTCCTCTGTAAGTCCACCGGACAGTATTGCTCAAAGAAACGAGCCTTGAAGGACTCCCACGGCATACTTTCTTTCTCGTTTTCATTCAGGGTCTCAAATGTTGCATCCCACCATACAAGTGCTCTTTCAGTAAGCATCGCACTTGCATAAATTGCCTTATCCTCATTAGCCACATGAGCTATGCGAAAGACTTTCTCAGTGTTTTGAATCCATTGAACGGCAATTACCGGATCAGTGATTCCGGTAAACTCTATTGCTCCACTACTTCTAAATGCCTTAAATGATACCCTTTCAGATCTGGGTCTCGAGAGCTCACTTGAATCTTTTTCTTTTCCCTTATCTTTACCGATTTCATTCTTATGTTGTTCAAACGTCTGTTGGATGACCGTAGTGAGCTTTTTCATCAACTGTTCACCACGAGGAGATAAAGGTGTCTCATCATCGTGCTGACCTTGATTTGGATCATGATCTCCAACAACGGGGTTTGTCGGAGTATGACTTGCAACAAGGTTTGTCGGAGTATGACTTGCAACGTCATCGTCGGCCATGATTCTGAAAGTAAAAATACATTAAAATGTATTAACATATATTATATCTTATCTTTATCCCATACCTCAACTTAAGTCTCTCCTAAGGTCTGTATCCCGAAAAGATCGACACTTAGTTACTATATAACATCAACACTTAGGTTTAAGTTCAGATACCATTACTAGTACCTGGCTCACTTAAACCATGCTCTGATACCATAACTGTAACACCACACTAAAGCGGAAGCTAATTTCACCAGGTAATATTATATTCAATATACAACTCTAAAACAAAACGGGATACAAAGTTATTCACCAAAAGAGATAAGTATCGTTGATGAAGGGACATATTACTACCCTTACATACTATATATATAACATGTACATAAACAAAAAAAATACCCAAAATACGAGCTTTAAATATCAACCTACTTCTTTGAGCTCGACAATCCTTCATCAGACATTTACTCCTTTCTATCCTTCCTGTAAAAGAAAATCAACATCTAAGAGGTTAAGCATAAAGCTTAGTGAGTTCATAGGGAAACATTTGAATATTATGATATATACATACACATACACAAAGGAATCTATTAGAATCCATAATGCAAAATGTAAAAAGTAATGAAAAACAATAAGTGATGAAGAACTAGAAGACCAATGGAGATATCAAGGCAGAAGACCAATGGAGATATCAAGGCAGAATCGACTAAGTCTAGATCGATGGACAGACTATCCAGAGCATCGATGGAAAGACCATCCAGAGGATCGATGAACATTGGGTCGATGGACGAAGTTCAACTAGAGGATAGATGGATGATGCGATGGAAAGAAGCATTCTCATCGATGCTCTGGACAGACAAACACTTAGAAGATTTTCTAAGTATTCATCCAAGCGTRCAATGAAGATTTGAAGATAAGGATGAATTCATCACATTGATAATGGCAGCTGAAGATGACAAGTCAACAGCTGGAATTATAGTTTATCTTGTTAATAATGCTTATCCATGTAAAATATAATCTTTATTTGTTAGCTAGACTATTTGCTAGAAAGTAGCAATATATAGTTATCTTAGTATTAGCCAACTAGTATAAATAGATGATTAGGCCTATTGTAATCCAAGTCTCTTTTACGTTTTTCATATCATTATTTATAAAGAAAAACCTTTGAAGCTCAAAACTATTCTTGAATGTTCTTATTTTAATTTTTGAGTCTTCATAACTTTCTTCATAAAATCACTATAATTTGGTTATTTATAACTAGATTATTAGTGTTATTGAGAGATCTGGGATCAACAATTGGTATCAGAGCCTATTGATTGATTATCCAATTAAACGATCATTTAAAATCTCTCAATATTTTAATCTTCTTTAATCTTCTCTAAATTTTTTCAATGGCCTACTGGAATTCTGCTTATAATGTTGGTTCTCTCACAAAGCCTCCAACTCTTCAACGAGAGAAGTATCCTCAATGGAAGATAAGAATGGTAAATTTTCTGAAAGGAATAGATAGGAATCTCCTGCGATCCATACAGGAGGGTCCCTACATTCCTCAAACTCTTGTTCCAAGAGTTCCAGGAACAAATWCCACGGCTGAAATTCCAGCATATTACATGCCTAAAGAGGAAAGATATTGGGACGACGATGATAAAGAAAAAGTCGAAACCGATAAAAAGGCCAAAAGACTGATAATCATGGCCCTGCCCAATGAAATCTTTCAATCCCTTGATACATGCTCCACTGCGAAAGAACTCTGGGA